TTCTGTGCTTTACTGATTTGTTCAACAAACTGAAACACTCTAGTGATTAATAAGCAGATTTGAAGCTGTTGCTGTGCTTTTCTGCGTCACTTCTTCTAGTATACATGACCGCATGGGTCTTCTGTCTGCTTCATTTTCTGCAACACAAGCTCTTTTTGAACAGTTTGAAAAGGACGTACTGTAGATGCAGTGCAGTTGAGACAAGAATGGCATCATGCAATAACCTGTTTAATTAATTGTTTGGCTTCGATAATGACAATAACGATGGGTGATCATTAGTTTTCAACAAAAAGTCTTTGGTTTGTACTGTATATCCACACAACTAGAACCAACACTGTTCTCCAACCATTTTTTTTCTTCAAATTCCTGTTAGTTAGTAGAGCTTTAAAGATACTCTTTTAAAAGTTCATGAGCACGGACCACGCCATCAATGGGACACATGATTGTTTATTGCATGATGGTGATGGTAAGCAATAGTTGCTTTGGGGGTATTTTTGTTGTAGCTCCAAAGCTTGCAGACTCCTGTCTTTAGAGCAATGGGATGCATGTGTGATTAAAACAAAGATGTGTGGGCAGAAAGGGTGAAAATGGTGTTGTCCCACTCCTGAACTTCAACATTTTTACTTTAGTAATTGCAGCTAGCACGTTTTAGACAAATTAAATTAAAATCCCAGTTGACTCTTGAAGTGAGGCCGTGCAACTTTTGCAACATTCTAAATTCACAAGTTCTAAAAGTTGCCAAGCTCAACGCTAACCTGTCTGTTGGATATCACCAGTGGATTTCTTAGGCTCCTGTTACCACTTCACACATCAATAGTCATGTTTATTTACTGAAACGGCATATGTTTGTCTTGGAAGTTGGAACGTTGGTCTGGGAAAATTTGATTGTGTTCCAAGCAAAAGTCAGAAAAGCAAGAAGAGTTGTTCATTTTTTAGAAGTTTTAGAAGCTAACATCACTTTGCATATTGTGCATTTAAACAATGAATGCACACAACATGTTCACTGATAGAAGCTGATCAGTACAATATGTCTGACTAATTTAATTACTGGATTTTTTTTGGCCTATAAGTTGCAGGTTTTTTTGCATAACTTGCATGCCCTGTGACTTATACAATGAAGCAATGTATTTATGAATTTTCTCCATATTTATAAACCAATTTTTGTCTGCGATATGACGGTTTTCATTCATTCTGACATTGAAAATATTGAACACTACCATTTTCAGCCACTAGATGGCACTCGAGTTGTATGGCATGCCATTGTGTCATGTAATAAGTAAAAGTGGCTATTAATGACACAATCGGCTTGTCATATAAAGCTAATTTCGTCCAGCTCCGGGATCACGCCTGGAGAAACCGTCAAATTAGCTGCATTTTGCAGCGGCGAATTATCCTTATTTTTTTTTATTCAATTTTTTTTTTTTTTACACACTGAGCTCCATGGATTTGAACAAGTACACAAACAAACTTCCCTACAAACACCATATCTGCATCTACAAAGTCCACCTTTTGTCCAGTAATGATGTCCACAGCAACTAAAGATTAGATTATTTACTTTGACTGGAACTTTTAGACATTTAAATTACCAACATCACACACACACTCCCAAGAAATATTTATGTAATCTAATAAGCAAAGGTTTATAACTTTGTAAATTATGATTGATGGCTGAATCATTAATAATAATCATTAATAAACATAACTGGCATCTGGCCTAAAACATTTGCTTGTGATGCATGATGATTGGTATTTTTCGACAGATGGTCCCCTTTTTTATATAAAGCTAGTTTCTTTGGATTCCACAAAGGGCTGGCTTGAAACACATCAAGGCGGTGCTATTTGTGAGACAGATCTGGGTTGGCAGGCCGCAGACTGAAGAAGTCTTTCGGATGAAAGATGACATGATTGAACCTTTTTCTGAACTTCCACAAGAAAACAGTTTTCCTTTTTTTTCTGTGTTGCCAATGTTTTGTTCTTTTTACAAATTTGATTTGCGTTCGTGTAACTTTGTGACAATTTGTGTTATCAGAAAAATTCCCATGGTTTCTAAAAACTAAGGAATTGCATTTTACTGCCAATATACTGTAGTTTAATACAGTAATCTCACTCCTGATGCTGCAGGAGGCCCATGAAACAGCCCCTCTGTAACCCTCCTCTCACACAGACACGGCATGAACAGGTAAACCCAGCCAGCTCTTGTCAAACGCAGGACATTTGGTGTCCTGCCACTCGGGATGTGGGACAGCGGGGCAAAATCTGGGACTGACCCGCCCAAATTGGCCGGTATGCTTTACCAAATTTTTTTTTCATTCCTTTCTGATGGAGGATACTAGCCATTTGTAGCTCCAAACAATCTTCAAAGTACTTCAGATGTGAGCTTTGTTACTGTCCTTCGTAAGCTGTTTCATTTTACAAAGCTGCCCATGCTACCCATGGTTAATGTTTAGCCAAGTGTGTATTTGAACCACATGGTTTGCCAAATTAATTCTACCCAAAATGGATTTCGCCATAACCCTCCTGAAAACACCATGTTTACTTGTAAAATTTGGCTCTTTTATACAGTATGTTTGAAGTATTTGTATAGCAGATTTATGAAACTATTTAGTTTTTTTCATAACTTTTATGTTTTTGGACGTGCATGTCCTCTGGCATCCACCAAGGGTCGTTGCAACAACCTTCAAACTTTCCACAGCCTTGGGCAAGTTTAAAGTCAACTTAGGAAAAAATATTAGACAAAAATCAAACTACTGGTATCCATTATTTAATTTAAATAAAGAATTTAGCTTGTGTAGTTTTGGCTATGAGTAAATTTCGATTTGTCGCTTCGTGAAGATGATTTGCAAAAGTTACATGGTCTCACTTCAAGCCATTTTGATGTTAAATGATTTGGTTTTGAGCGAGGCATTTGCTTGCACACACACACCGACGTCTGGACAGACAAAAGCATGCCATGACCTTTAACAATCAGTACAATTGGAAGAATCACAGTTTACAGTACTTTCGTCAAGTTATTTGGAATAAGGGATCTACATAGAGAAAATAATTTAGAAACAGTAGAAAAAATAGTATTTGCCTTCTTGGGGCCACAATATTGTATTCTCTTTGTTTTATTCTCCATGCATTCACAGATTTCACAGATACATTTCCTCGCTTGCACTACTACCTTACTGGATCTGCTTACAAATAAAAGGACTATCGAAATGGTAGCCACAAGGCTGTGCAAAAGGGAAGACCTCCATGTAAGCCCTGCCATCTGTCTCACATAGCCATCTAGTAACAAACTATAAAATAGCACCATTATACAGTGGATAGAATTCTTAATACAGTTTTGTTAAATGAAACCATCATGTACAATGAATGATAGTAATGCATAGGTTAACATAAAGGGAGTACAGTTTTATTATACATAGAGAGATGAGGCAGAGCCAGACATGAGTTGTCTTGGGCAAATTTACTGAGGCTCAAACAAAGAACAGCTTCCTGTCAGATATCATGCAAGCACTTCTCAGAAATGGATTTTTGTGAATTTTGTGAAGGTGGTCTTGACCCTTGCTCACAATTGCATCATTTTTTTGTTTACTGTGGGTGCTTTGTATGTGTATTTGTGTACTTTTGTGTTCTCCCTTTCCAGGTGGACTTGCCATCTTGGTTGCAATACTTATCAAACTGTTTAATCTGCATGTCTCTGTGGCGGACTTTGAAACGGATGCTGTGCTATTTGGTTCTCGCCACCACATCAAGTTTTGCAGACCAAGCCTAAACCAGTTTTGGAAAGTTTTCAACCTCCCCAAACCAACAAATAACCACCAGCCTGATCAAACAGTTCATAATCTTCCCCTTGTATGTAGCCATTGTAACAGCCTTTTGGTCTTTTGCTTAAAACTTTGGTACTGACACATTTGGGAACTATTTATTCCCCAATCCTGGCAAGTTATTTTCATTACAGAACGTTGTGGCTAAACATTCAAGATTGGAGCTAAACTTAAAAGCATAAACCTCCACTCAGACGAAAATTTTCGTCAATGGGTGACTGGACTGTTGACAACCCGATATGGCAATGGTGGCGACATGTGAAAAGAACCCAGACAACAAATATTTTGCCTGATTGTCGCTATTTGATTACTCCATTCAACTGAGCCAAATGAACTTTGAGTCTACTGAATGACCTATTTCTAAAAAACAAACAAGCCCTGAACTGAAAGTCCAAAATAAACTTTATGTCTCTCTGAAAAGCAGTGCAAGCATCCATCTCATTTTTATAATACCTACTGTTTTTGACTCTCTTTCAAAGTCCTCCCAAATTATGCTTAATATCTTGCTCTACACAAATTTTGAACCCAATTCTCAACACTTTGTGTAGCTTAGAAAAGGTTAAGATTAGTCTCAAACCCTCTTGTCTTTCCACTTTGTATAGATTTGACTTGGACTCGAGGTAAAATTAACAAAAGTCTGATAATAAAACCACACGGTCTTGGTCCCTAAAAAAACCCCAAAAATATCCACAGTAACGTATGGTGCATAAATAGAAGATAAAATACTCGATTTGAACGTAACTGCTATATGCGAGTGTGACAAAGTACCCAGTTTTACCAAAGGAGTGAAAGGATCCGCTCAGAGTAAAAAGGCGTTACCTCCACAAAGGTCAAGGGACAAGTTGCACCACCCATTCCCAACCACAGCCTGCTACTCTCTGATTGGCTGAAGCATAGATAAGTTCCCACCTTTTCTGGAGCTGGAGATGTTGCAGCTCACATTGAGGCATCACAAACCCTTATTTGTGTCTCAGCAGCTAAACTAGTCTTACATCAGCAATAAATCGCTCTTAATATGGAATGGTGCAGTGTACAAAATAATCACAATACCCCTCATCAAGCCTTTAAACACCATTTGGCTCTAAAGTTGCGAACATTTTGAAAAGTTTTTAAGCCATTGTTTACATCCTTTTGTTTAGTTTTACAGTGAACCATTCCACAGGGGGACCAGGTAAGGCCACTCCCTTCTCTCTTCCCAAATTGCTGGGCGTTAGTCCATTCACTGCTTCCCTACATCCTGTACGTTTTGCTCCCGGAGCTTCCTCGACTTGAGTTTTTCTGATGCACCTCCTGCAATAAAAAAAGGAAACGTACTTTTAGAGATGAAGATGAGCTAGTGGAGTGAACATTTGGTGCAAAAGAGCTTAATCAAAATGAGGCTGTCAAACATGACAAAACAATCATTGCATCAAGTTTGGTTTGATTTTGAAGGAGCAAAATCCAAGTTGAAGAGTTGAAGGCGATACCTCGCAAGTTGGAAATGTGCCCCTAAAAATAATCAGAAATTCACTTGCTTCAATGAAAAGTAACTAAAATTAGATCGTTTTTACGTATTGAGTCATTAGACGTTTTACTTGCACCTCATTTGTCAGCTGGTGTTGAGGTCGCTTTGGAAACTTCTCATGCATTTCCCTTCTGATTTTCTCCATCTCACAAAACCAAAGATTACTCATTCACACCACTGGTCATTTTGGGTGGAGAACAATCCACCCCCAAAAAATGTCATTGACCACCTCTGTTCAAAGAAGTTGTTGGTAGCACATCCAAATATGGGCAACAAAAACATGTGACTGATTAACATAACTAATCATAAGTCTCTTGGGTAAGAAGTAGGAAGCCATGAACTAGGTAACAAATTATGAATCTAATAAAAATAGTTGACTTGTTCTAGGTAATGGTAACCAAATCGCAAACTAAGCATAAGTGCCCCAAGCTGAAATATGGAGTTCACACATAACAAACCCTTAACTTGTCGTTTTTTAATGATGAGGCTAGATCTAAAAAGTGCTCGTCTGTTCACCATTAGATAATAGTTAAATCATGATTAGTTCATCTTTTACAAATTGGAAGTACTACCAAATTCTGTCTAGTCATTCAGCTTGAAAACCAGTGAAAACCCTATCAGTCAAAGATGATAGCTTATTAGATGATTTTGGGTCAGTTGGTAATCTCAGATGGTTTTAGTGATAGTTATGTTTAAACAGAGAACAGATTCCTGATTGAACATGTATTTGGTGATGTATCATGATCCATGATGAGGCACTGCGCTGATTCTACTTTTATGATTTTTTTTATGTCAAAAGAGGTTATCTATATTTTGCATTGTGCTAAATCAAATTTGACCTTCATCTTTATTGCATTGTGATTGAAGGGCAAATTGTATTGAGTCATATCCAGTTTTGCTGCTCATGTTTCTTTAATGTATTAAATAATTGCCAACTTACTTATTCTATCAGACCAGAGATGTGTAGCTCTTTTTTTGTACCCTTCCCAACATAAAATAAGGATAATTTGAATTTCAGGTCCACAAAAAGACAGATTTTGTCCAATGACGAGGAGACAGTTGCTCGTTCTAACTTTAAGCCCTCGACTTTTAACTAACTTTTTATATTTTTACTTTTTGAGACGAGGCTCAAAGCCCTCTTCTCTCTTTCTTATTGTAAATTCATGAATGAAACAAAATGCATTTATCTATTTCAGAATGAAAAAAAAAACTAATAAATGTTGATATATTTTTGTACATTAAGCATATTAGCTATCTTTTCATATCATTTCATATGATTCAAATAATGCATGTTTTATAAAAAAAAATTGGAACTTAAATTATAAAACGATTGAAGTAATAACTAAATAAACTGCATCGCATCCATACCTTGAAGGATGAATGACTATGTCCGGATGAAGGTCTCTGTGGAAGAAAAATAAAGCCACTTAATGTAAATCTAACACTTGTAATGTAATAAAGTGCTAACAGAAAGTGAACCAGTTGAACCCTGAACATGTCACTTGAGACATTTACTTAATGTGATACAAGATGTTTTTTTAAAGTGCATCTTTGTTAAATTGGTAAAGATCAGTGTAAAGCCTGTAAAGTGTTTACAGAAGATATATTTTATGATATTAAATCATTTATTTCCAATCCTCCAGATACAACGTGTGCATGGTTTGTGAATAAGTTCATTGCTATGCTCACCTTTTTGTTTTTAGTCTTGTCTGGCTGCTGTGCTGTCCTGCGCTCCGTGCCCCTGTCCACTTTCTGGCCCGGGTTACTAACCTTAGCTGTTCTCGGCATGTCTGTGTGGCGTTGAGCGCGCACAGAGCGAACGGCCTTGCTAGTCTTGGCGGGCGCGCAGTACATCTCCAGGCGCCGCAGCTCACAGCTTTGGAAGCAGCACTCGTCCACGATGCCGCGAGACCGCCTAGCGCTGGGGCCATATCCTGGTTTATCTGTTTGGGGGGAAAACATTAGGAAGGTTCAGATAAATGAAGGAAGCTGGGCTCTACTGGGGCTCAGCAGAGACGGAATCAAGTGTTTGTTAGAAGTTTAATCTTGCTGGAGGCCCGGTCTGGTCTACTCTGAATCATAACAATTTAGTTCAATTAAATTCAAAAAATACTTTATTAATCCAAAAGGGAAATTAATTGTTGTTGTAGCTCATCCTCCTGGATTCATTAGAGTTGTTCTAGATGCTGATGGCTTTGGGCAGGAAGAATCTCTTGTAGTGCTCTGTACTACAGTGGATCCGAAGAAACTGGCTGCAGATGCTGATCTGTCCATTCAGACCCAGCAGACCTCTCAGTCCTCTTGGGCAGCAGGACTGCTTGAATTCCAGACAGAACTCCTCCCCAAGTGATGGCCATTTCTCCCAGCAGCCTGTCAAGCCCCTTGTCACTGCGGATTTAACTGCAGGTGCCGGGGGGGGGGGGGGACGATCTCAGTCCTCCCACTGTCATGAGCCGTGTTTCCTGCCACCTCCAAGATCTCGGTGGTCAGGCATTCGAGCATCACCTCCAGGTAGACGCGAATGCATCCACGGCACCTCCTTTTCAACTCATTTGGGATTTGGGGCTGTAGCTGAGAGATTATTTGAGCTTTTGAGATGTTAATCAGCTGTTCCCTGTTGTAGAAAATCATCTTGTTGTTACAGTTACGCATCATAACAAATGTCCAAAAGTAAAAAAAGTTTTCAGCAAAAATTCTTCCAGCGGCACAGCATCTGATAGCAAAGGAATTAATCATCTGAAAAAAAAGCGATTTACATCCAAAAAAAAAAAAAGACTAATTAAAGTTTTCAAAGGCAAAATCTCAGAAATAATGTAAAAGAGAGCTACTCAAACATGCAGCCACCTTGAACGGTGCAGTTGGTTTGGAACAGATCATACTAGTCTCAGCTCAACAACAAAATGTGAGTGAGAAAGGTGAAGCACCCACATCTGCCTTTACCCTCATTTGACCCACTCTGGGCCCTTGAGCAAGGTCCTTAACTCCAACCATCTGCTCCTCCAAGCACCCTAGAGAGCAGCTCTCTGCTCCACACAGAGTGGGCTGTGGTAGCTCGATGGTCTGTGGTTGCATCAGGAAGGACATCTAGCGTAAAAACAAATGCCAAGTCTTGGTGTGAATTAATTTGCTATGGCGACCCCTGAAGAAGGGAGCAGCTGAAAGAAGAAGAAAAATAAATAAAATAAAGTTCAAATGACAATAATTTATTCCACCTAAAATTGACATCTTACATTATTGCACACTGCAGACTCACTTTGGCAGTTGTATTTCTGTAAAAAAAATAAAAATCTAAATGTCCTGCTCGGTGATTCTGGCATGGTTTTATTTCACAGAAAGTCCTCCAAGTCTGATCCACCTGCAGAAATGTCCAGGCCTCGCTGCTCATTCTTGTATTCATTTGTCAGAAGCCCCCTGAAGGCCCATTCAGAGAACACACTGAAGAAATGTGGAAATGGCTGTAGTTAAAATTTATAAGGCTATTCTGAGGTGTGACACTGGGGTTTTGCAGTGACGTTAATACTCCCGCCCTCTTGTAACTCAAAGACGGTGCTTTTCAGGTGGCTTTTAGATGAGCCAAGACTATCTATTGACAATCCCCTGCTCATTCTGAAACAGCAAAATGCCAGAGGAGAGATGGGGCTTTTCCCTGTTATCAAATGAAATAATAATAATTTAATATGGCATTTACAAGAAGGAAATGCCTTTCCCTCTCAGAGTTAATAGCTCTTGGCTGAGACGCCTGCCAGAGCTGACAAAGTGCATTAACTCCTGCTCTGCATCCGCCTTGTTCTGACAATCTTGTTTTGGACTCAGAGTAGCTTTCATTGAGAAACAAAAGCATCTTCCTTCTTGAACACCCCCCCCCCCCCCCCCCCCAACCCCCACAATCTGCTAAGCGTGAATGAGTTAGAGGAGAAGCACATCACTGTGCAGCTGCATTATTTAGAAAGCCAAGAACTGGATTTACTCCGGTTCCTAACTTACCCCAATTTCTGTGTTTCATTGATTTAAAATACTAAAGTGTGGAGAGTTTGCCAGATGATTTATGCTCTTCTAGGAAACTCTCTTCTCTCCTTTCAGCCATTTCAGCAAACAGATGGTGTGTGTCAGTGGGTGCAATCTTGGCTGTTATATTAACATCTGATGACAAAACATTAAAAAGCATAAAAGTTAAGTCCAAGTTGATGATTATATAAAAGTCTGTTAAAAGCCAAAAGTGGGTCTGTGCCTTCTTTTCCTGGCCTGATTTTCAATCCCTCTCAAAACAAGCGTCTACCAGTTAACATCCGCTTTTTGTTCCAAAAATAGTTTGCCACCCTGCTGCACAAACAGCTGGAATGGGGACCAGAAATCAGCTGGTGCTGGTTGTATCGTAGGTTAATCAGCTAGGGCAGGTCGGGGTGGGGGTGGTGGTGGGGGGGGGGGGGGAAGAATGCAAAGAATAATCCGCTCTGAAAGCTTTGGTTTTAAAGGTTTAGTTCCTTTGATAATTGCTGTAATTCCTCATAAACAAGTTGTTTTCTGTGATTGTTGTTAAACAAATGGAGAATTACGGCATTAGAGTTGTGGCCATGCCAACCAGTCATCTCCTTATATTTCACAGTTATTGTATTGAATTGTTGGGATTTATATTTGGCCAACACCATAGGTGGTAGGTGTTTATGAAAGTGAATGTGCTATAGAGTTTATGGCATGCAAAACATCTTTCTGTCTTAAGACAATGGGACATGATGCACCTGCACCTGGTGTTAATACTCATCCATCATGTGAATATGTGCACATTTGCCTTAAAATATTAGTGGACAAAAGAACCCAATGCAGGCTTTCACTCTGGTGGACAAACTTGACATCTAACGTGCTGCTAAGTTAAATGAGCAACAGTTATTTGTAGCAACGAAAACACAAAAAGGAGTTGACAGAGGACAAAGGACAATAAGAGGTATTTATACTGAAGGAGGATTACTGACCAAAACCAAACACTAGTGTGCCTCAGGGCTGTGTCCTCAGCCCCATCCTGTTTACACTGTACAATCATATTTATGTCACCACTGACAGTTCAACAATTTTCAGTCAGGTCATCTGGATGGTTTCTTTATTTTATTTTTTATGCTGAGACGTTTCACCTTCTATCCAGAAGGCTTCATCAGTCTGATAAAACAACAAACAAAACTGCTTCTCCCCCAATAGCTTACTCCAAAGTAGAAGAAAAAAACCTGTTGTGTTGGTGCTAAGATGGTCTCTGGGGCACGCCCTCTCCTCTGGTGCCCACTCTCTCCCTCGTTGACAGTCATGTCAAACTGGTTCAAAACACCAAAGTCCATGCTCAACATCCAGGTATAAAATCCAACAATTTGCTCCACACAGTTCCAACGCACTCATCAAATATGCTGATGGTTGGACCATTGTAGGATTACAGCTATAACAAGACACAGTCAACTTCCTCAAACTCTCCCCAGAATTGAAGAAATTGTCTTTGATTTCTAAAACTTTAGGATCACAATGGACACAGGACCGCAGATTAATGAAAAGGAGGTGGAGCAAGTTACATACTTCAAGTTCAACCAACCAGTTTGAACAACCATCTACCGGTAGTCTCCTTGCATCCACAATGGCTGTCCCATTGTAACATACAATGATAAAATCGCTTGTCATTACATTTTTATTATATTAATTTCATTTACTCATTAACCATCTCAACTAAAGTCAGCAAAACAAAAAAATCTATCACAAAAGTAGTTTGCCTGTCCATTGCAAAGAACAATGAATTAAGTTTTTAGGTTTTATTCATTTCGGTTCAGATGACTTTTGTTGCGTAAAAGAAACCTTGTGATGTTTAAAGGTAAAGGATATGAACCTTTGCTAGACTGAGGTATTTTTTAATGCAGTGGGCTTTTTTGAGTTGTGTTGGGTTGTCATGGGAAGATACAGTGCAAGGAAAGAGTAGAACAGTGAAGTCCTTAATACACAAAATCAATTGCACTCCAACGTTTGTTGCATGCTGAATATATTGATGATGCATTTGTTTGTGTAAAATGAATTGGGAAAATATTGACTTTTTGAAAGGGTGTCCCAATTCATATAGAAATATTTTACAATGTGCCTTTGTATTAGGAACCAAGTAGCATTAGGAAATGGGATTCTGCAATAGATTTGAAATGCACAAACGAAGGAATGATTACAATAATCAAATACATCTATATTCAAAAATGAAAAAAAAAATCTGCATAAACAGAAAAAAAGTTCTGCAAGGTATTTGTATTAGTCTGGACGAGGACTAAATATGAGTAATTTATATCTGTACTTTGGAAAAGTTTAATTTTCTGAAAATATTTTCTGATTTTCATTTCTAAAATCATTTTCAAAATAAAAATAAGTATAATTTTTACATGTATTACTGTAAAAATGGTGTGTCCGCATTCTTGGCACAAACTTCAAGGTTGTTCCTGGTGCAGATTGGACACGACCAGGGTTGTCCCTTGTCTTCTTTCCTGTTTGTGGTGTCCGTGAACAGGATCTCAAGGAGCACTCATAGAGGAGGGTGTCTGGTTAAAGAACGTCAGGGTCTTGTTTCGCCTTTAGCAGATAATGTGGTTTTATTGGTGTCTTCAGACCACGTGGCAGGGATGGGAGTCAGTTCTTCTGATCTCTGACTGAGGTCATGGTTCTTTTGGAGTCTTGTTCACAAGTGATGGTAGTATAGAGCGGAAGATGGGGGTTTGTCTGGAGTAGTGAGGGCATTGGTCTGGCTGTCATGGTAAAAAAAAAAAGGATCAGTGTTGAAAGGCATTAATGGGCTGTCATCACCCTCATTATTATTATGGATTATGACCAAAGGAGCAAGACCCAGGAAGCAAGTGGTTGAAATTGATAGGGTGGCCAGACTCAGTCTTAGAGATAAGGCTCCATCATCTAGAGCAGCATGGAGAAGAGTTGCTGCTCCTCT